CTAGAACATGCACTATCCAGGTACCACATATTAGAATTTTGAGCTTTTAATGCAAGATTAGCAACAAGGCATTTCTCTTGACCTGATAGTCTAATTAAATCACCCTTTTTGACCCAAATCCTTTTAGGCGACAAGTTACTCTTAGTTAGCTTAGTAAGCATCTCAGTCAGATGACTAACCCGATTAGGAATGTTTTGACTTCTACGCTCATTGTGTAACATCTAGGATTTAGGCCTAGTGTGTCCTAGAGCACCACAGTGGTGGCAGGTGGGAATAAACCTAGGCTCAAAAGTACGTGTCTGAGGGTACCTGGTCCTAATGTTCCTACGTGATTGATGACTTTGTTCCCTAGGAATGCTCTTACCCTTACTTGGACTCCTAACCGTATTAAACTTAGAGGCAGCCACGAAGACAGTCCTAGATGGTCCAGCAATAGTTGTATTACCCTCAACATATCCTAGACCTCTCTTGTCTCCCACTGGCTTATTCATTCCCAATAGGTTATCTAATTTCTTGTTTCCACTAATGAATGTCTGAAGATGGGCATTAGATTTTTCCAATTCACTAGTCAAACTCTTAACCTTGTCTTCCAATTTCTCATTGACACACTTCAACTCACTACCGCTCTTAAGTGACTCCTGAAGCTTACCACCCAGTTTCTCTTTTTCCCTTTCAAGTTCGTCAAGCTTTTTAAGTAGGGATTTATTGACCTTCTTTATCTTAAGACTTTCTTTAAACAGTTGTTGATATGCTTCTTGTAGGTCTATGTTATCCTTATCCTCATTTTCATTAACAGAATTATCATTTGATTGCTCTTCCTCCACCTTATCACTTTTCTTATCAGACTCACTCTTAACAGTAGCCACAAATGCCATATAATTTCCTTCATCATCACTACTGGAGGATTCCTGCCTATCACTGGTCTCAGATTCATTATCAGTAAGTAAGACAACTAAGGCCTTGCCTTTCCCTTTTCTTTGATTTTTCTTATAGCTCGGACATTCATTCCGATAGTGACCTATTCCTTGACACTCATGACATCTAACCAAGCGTGGCTTCTCACTAGACCCCTTATTGTTATCTTTCTCAATTTTATCTTTTGTGAATCTGCTAGGGGCTCCATTCTTTCTATCTTGAGGCTTTCTCCTATTGTTGAGGACTTTTTGGAATTTCTTGACAAAGTATGCGATTTCCTCATCCCTAAGTGACTCAGTGTCAGACAATTCACCTTCTTTATTGGATTTTAGGGCTATGGATTTTCCTTTCTTGTGTTGTGAGAGAGTAAGTTCATAGGTTTGCAAGGATCCTACCAATTCTTCGATCTTAATTTCATCTAGGTCCTTACTCTCCTCAATAGCAGTGACTTTAGGCCTAAATCTCTCAGGTAGGGATCTAAGTACCTTTCTCACTATCTTGGTCTCGGGAATTCTCTCACCTAGGTTGAAACTCGAGTTAACTATGTCATTTAGCTTAGCGTAAAACTCATCAAAAGTTTCATCATCTTTCATTCTCACTTCTTCAAACCTAGAAGCTAGCATTTGCAGTTTTGAGTTTTTTACTATTTTAGTTCCCTCATGTGTTGTTTCGAGAATGTCCCAAACCTCTTTAGCAGTTTCGCACATAGAGACTCACTTAAACTCTTCTGGTGATAGTGCCATGAATAATGCATGAATTCCCTTACTATTCCAGTTACATGCAGCTAACTCATCTTTAGTCNCAAAAGCCAAGGATATTTAATCTGAAAAGTTTAGAAGATTGTTTGGCTTTTTGAACCTTGGTGTGAAAGATATAAAGGATTAAACTCCAAGGATTTTAGAGTGAAGCAATAATATGGCTTCAATGTGTATTTTCTCCACCCTCAACTCGAAGGAGACGAATGGTATTTATATGGCTCAAGATATGGTCTTGTGGCGCGTCAAAAATTCGAGAGCTTTTAAATTTAATGTTGCCCAGATAAATAGGTCGCTCGAGCGAGGGACCAGCGTGACTCGAGCGACGTCCACTTCGCTCGAGCGACCTGCTGGCGAGGCTCTAGCGACAGTGGTTCTGCAATCTTGGCTCGAGCGAGATCATGGCGTGACTCTAGCGAAATCTCGCGCCGTTTGCAACTTCGAGGCATCCATCACAACCCTAGACCTAGCCTTCAACACTTTGATTAATTGCAACTCAAGTCCCTGAACTATTGGACATTTGACACTTTGGTCCTTGACCTTACAATTATGACATTTTAATCCTTGACCTTACAATTATGACATTTTGGTCCTTGGTCACAGATTTGCCAATTATATTTCCTAACAACAGTGTCTACACTTATTGCAAAAAAATATTGAAACATCATATATAACTTGCGTGGGTTGAAATATTGTAAAAAATTACCCATCGTATGTAACTTGAAGTAAATTGGACATTGAATTAGAAAAAAATGGCAATCATACACTCGTAAGGCTAAAATTTTCACGTGTCAACCACAACGTTGAAATGTAGTTTAAACTTATGCTCCTATACTTTCGCGTGGTTACGGGCATGAATGAGCCAAAACGAACACAAAATGAGTAGAAACGGCATCCATACGTTCAAAATGATCATATGCTGTTTTGGGTCACGAGGGATCGATTTCACTCCCAAACTAGTAAAACATGCTTTAGGACATCATACATGACCCGTACACATTGAACGACTGCAAGTGTTGTACAATTTAAACCACACTCACCACTTACGGTTTCCTTTATTGTCAAGTGGTGTAGTTTCTTGTCGGATTATGAATTGGGTGACTACAGTTTGAACCAATGTGCCAACTTCAACGTAAAAATGTAGTTTAAACTTGTGCTCCTATACTTTTGCGTGGTTATAGCATGAATGAGCCAAAACGAACACAAAATGAGTAGAAACGTCATCCATACGTTCAAAATGATCAGATGCCATTTTGGGTCGCGAGGGATCGATTTCACTCCCAAACTAGTAAAACATGCTTTAGGACATCATACATGACCCGTACACAGTGAACGACTGCAAGTGTTGTACAATTTAAGCCACACTCACCACTTACGGTTTCTTTGATTGTCAAGTGGTGTAGTTTCTTGTCGGATTATGAATTGGGTGACTACAGTTTGAACCAATGTGCCGACTTCAACGTAAAAATGTAGATTAAACTTGTGCTCCTATACTTTCACGTGGTCATGGGCATGAATGAGGCAAAATGAACAAAAAATGAGTAGAAACGTCATCCATACATTCAAAATGATTATATGCTGTTTTGGGTCACGAGGGATCGGTTTCACTCTCAAACTAGTAAAACATGCTTTAGGACATCATACATGACCCGTACACATTGAACGACTGCAAGTATTGTACAATTTAAACCACACTCACCACTTACGTTTTCCTTGATTGTCAAGTGGTGTAGTTTCTTGTCGAATTATGAATTGGGTGACTACAGTTTGAACTAATGTGCTGACCACAACGTCAAAATATAGTTTAAACTTGTGCTCCTATACTTTCGCGTGGTCACGGGCATGAATGAGACAAAATGAACAAAAAATGAGTAGAAACGTCATCCATACGTTCAAAACGATTATATGCCGTTTTGGGTCACGAGGGATCGGTTTCACTCTCAAACTAGTAAAACATGCTTTAGGACATCATACATGACCCGTACACATTGAACGACTGCAAGTATTGTACAATTTAAACCACACTCACCACTTACGTTTTCCTTGATTGTCAAGTGGTGTAGTTTCTTGTCGGATTATGAATTGGGTGACTACAGTTTGAACCAATGTGCCGACTTCAACGTAAAAATGTAGATTAAACTTGTGCTCCTATACTTTCGCGTGGTCACGGGCATGAATGAGGCAAAACGAACACAAAATGAGTAGAAATGTCATCCATACGTTCAAAATAATTATATGCTGTTTTGGGTCACGAGGGATCGATTTCACTCCCAAACTAGTAAAACATGCTTTAGGACATCATACATGACCCGTACACATTGAACGACTGCAAGTATTGTACAATTTAAACCACACTCACTACTTACGTTTTCCTTGATTGTCAAGTGGTGTAGTTTCTTGTCGGATTATGAATTGGGTGACTACAGTTTGAACCAATGTGCCGACCACAACATCAAAATATAGTTTAAACTTGTGCTCCTACACTTTCACGTGGTTACGGGCAGGAATGAGCCAAAACGAACACAAAATGAGTAGAAACGTCATCCATACGTTCAAAACGATTAGATACCGTTTTGGGTCACGAGGGATCGATTTCACTCCCAAACTAGTAAAACATGCTTTAGGACATCATACATGACCCGTACACAGTGAACGACTGCAAGTGTTGTACAATTTAAGCCACACTCACCACTTACGGTTTCTTTGATTGTCAAGTGGTGTAGTTTCTTGTCGGATTATGAATTGGGTGACTACAGTTTGAACCAATGTGCCGACCGCAACGTCGAAATGTAGTTTAAACTTGTGCTCCTACACTTTCGTTTGGTTACGGGCATGAATGAGCCAAAACGAACACAAAATAAGTAGAAACGTCATCCATACGTTCAAAACGAACAGATGCCGTTTTGGGTCACGAGGGATCAATTTCACTCCCAAACTAGTAAAACATGCTTTAGGACATCATACATGACCCGTACACATTGAACGACTACAAGTGTTGTACAATTTAAGCCACACTCACCACTTACGGTTTCCTTGATTGTCAAGTGGTGTAGTTTCTTGTCGGATTATGAATTGGGTGACTACAGTTTGAACCAATGTGCCGACCGCAACGTCGAAATGTAGTTTAAACTTGTGCTCCTACACTTTCGCGTGGTTACGGGCATGAATGAGCTAAAACGAACACAAAATAAGTAGAAACGTCATCCATACATTCAAAACGAACAGATGCCGTTTTGGGTCACGAGGGATCGATTTCACTCCTAAACTAGTAAAACATGCTTTAGGACATCATACATGACCCCTACACATTGAACGACTGTAAGTGTTGTACAATTTAAGCCACACTCACCACTTACGGTTTCCTTGATTGTCAAGTGGTGTAGTTTCTTGTCGGATTATGAATTGGGTGACTATAGTTTGAACCAATGTGCCGACCGCAACGTCGAAATGTAGTTTAAACTTGTGCTCCTACACTTTCACGTGGTTACGGGCATGAATGAGCCAAAACGAACACAAAATGAGTAGAAACGTCATCCATACGTTCAAAACGATTAGATACCGTTTTGGGTCACGAGGGATCGATTTCACTCCCAAACTAGTAAAACATGCTTTAGGACATCATACATGACCCGTACACATTGAACGACTGCAAGTATTGTACAATTTAAACCACACTCACCACTTACGTTTCCTTTGATTGTCAAGTGGTGTAGTTTCTTGTCGGATTATGAATTGGGTGACTATAGTTTGAACCAATGTGCCGACTGCAACGTTGAAATGTAGTTTAAACTTGTGCTCCTACACTTTCGCGTGGTTACGGGCATGAATGAGCCAAAACGAGCACAAAATGAGTAGAAACATCATCCATACGTTCAAAACGATTAGATGCCGTTTTGGGTCACGAGGGATCGGTTTCACTCCCAAACTAGTAAAACATGCTTTAGGACATCATACATGACCCGTACACATTGAACGACTACAAGTGTTGTGCAATTTAAAAGACACTTGTAACTTATGATTTTCTTGATTGTCAAGTGGTGTAGTTTCCTACTGGATTATGGAGTGGATCATTATAGTTTGAACAAATGTGCCGACCGCAATGTCGAAATGTAGTTAAAACTTTCGCCCCTATACTTTCACGTGGTTACGGGCATGAATGAGCCATAACGAACACAAAATGAGTAGAAACGTCATCCATACGTTCAAAATGATCATACGCCATTTTGGGTCACGAGGGATAGGTTTCACTCCCAAACTAGTAAAACATGCTTTAGGACATCATACATGACCCGTACACATTGAACGACTACAAGTGTTGT